AACAGCTTCTGGTGCTGTGTATATATGATTTTTCACAGGAGCGAATAAAACAAGCAGTGATTGACCCTCCAGGGAACACTGCCCTGGCACCCAATCACCTCTGAGCCCCTGACTCTCAGGGGGGGCCAATCTTAATCCATAACACCAGCCTTGGTTTCCCTGGAAATGTTGGCTCTTTTGTTCTCTGAACCCTAACCCGAATGGCTTGAAGTTGTGGCAGAGGTCCCCCTCACCATAGGTCACCCACAATAAAAACGTGTGGTATCAGTAATCTTGGGTTCCTGCTGTGATCCCCTTGGCATGCCTTTTCCAGCCCCAGTATCCCTGGAGCTGTAGACTCTGTGGCTCTCTGAACCCCAACACCAACACTAGACCTTATGGCATCTTGTTGCTGGAGCTGAAGTCCCCATCACCATTGGTAGCCTAGATAAAAAAGATATAGGAGCAGAAAAGTTGGGGACTCGCCGTGATCCACTTGGCATGCCTTTTCCAGCTCCAGAGTTCCTGGAGATGTGGGATCTTTTAGTCTTTAAACCCTACCACTAACCCTAAGGACTTCTAGTCACTGTGACTGAGGTCTCCATCACCGTGGGTGGACCAGATAAAAAAGATGTAGGGGTAGCAATGATGTTGGGGCCCTGCCATGATCCCCTTGGCTTGACTTTTTCATCCCCAGTGTCTTTGGAGTTCTAGGCTCTTTAACTCTCCAACCCCAACACTAATCCGAACCATATCCCTGAACAAAATTCAGGATATCTATACACCATTTTATCCATGACAGAAGGAAGGGCAGTAAGAGATATTTTTTCACTTTTATTGTCATTTCAGAGACGCATTAGGATGTATTGATGTTTAGATTGTCACTATTTAGCAATTTAAATTACCGTTTCCGCTTCAGTTTATAGAGACAGACTCATCATTTTACCTCTACTACTTTTAACAAACTGAACTTTGCAACAGTCCTCTGTCACTGTTTTTCCACATAGCACCAAATATCAAGTAGACTGTGCCCTGGGATGGTTTTCTCCCTTAAATAAAATCCAGCAAATCCTACTTTTTCAAATCATTTATTTTACCAGTCTATGGTTGTGTGTCTGTGCACAGCGACTCTGGGCTTCTCTAGCTATTACTTTGTCCCTTTCAGCCTACAGTTGATTTCTACACTGAGGGTCTCCTTCTCCATGTCGCTTCCAACTCTTGAGAGTGTAATTATTTTTCACAGACTACCTGGCTTCTATTGCTATGAAAGAGTCTCTTGACATCCCAGGAACAAGTAGCAGTGAGGCAATCTGTAACCAAGCCATTGCTGCCTTGGCCAAACTAGCACTCCCTCATGGCAAAGTGTATCTCTTGGAGCATCTCCTCCTATTTCTTCCACTTAGTCATATACAACCTGGGTATGACAGCACTTATTCCTCTGGCTAAGCATGCAAATTCCTGTGTTCCTGGAATCTGTTGTGCCTTGTGCTAATTTCTCTGTTTAGTCTTTCTCTTTCTTTTCCATCTATTTGGTAATTCTCAGAATTGGATAGCTTTTTTTCTTCCCTCTCCATTTCTGTGCTCCTCAGGACCCCATCTGGGAACAGTGCACAAGGATATTATAAATAATGAAAACCAGGTTCCATCATGTCAATAAGCCCAAGAACATGTGTTGGTGCAATAGTTGAGGTTTACTTTGCATCTTTGCTTGCCAGTCAGCTTTCAACATTCAATATTTCTTAATCCCTCATCACCTTATTTTTATGTGAACCAGAGAAATTTTCTTCGGTTTTTAATTGCATGATATTCACTTTGCCAAACTGGATAACAGAATAAATTGCTAAGTCTATGGGAGTGCAGTTCTTGGATGCCAAACATCATCAACCACAGAGCCACTTGGGTGAGTTCCTCCAAGGCAGACAGCAGAACCTGAGAGTTGCTAGAAGAAGCTGGCACATTAATTGCCCCTTATAGAAATGGTCTTATCTCCATTGCATGATGCCTGAATTTCCATCTCCCCTTCCATGGACTAGGGATACTGAACAGACACACCATGCTTGTGGAGGCCTTTTGAAAGTCTCTGTTGCAAGGAACTTCCAGAACACTAAATATTTCTTGAGATTTTGTTTATTTTATTAGGATGTCTGAGGACAGCAAAATCCACCCAAATGTGGCAAGGCAGCTGCATGTAGCCCTGGTGTGAGAAATAGCTATGTAGTGAGATGAGCAACGGCTGAGACATATGGGAAATAGTCTGATCTTCAAGTCAGGAATTTCACAGCTATGCTCCAGCATTTTGAGCTGTATACATGAATCATCAGCACAATGAAACCAGAGAATGACACCAGCTTCCCTAAAAGAGTCTCTCTCTGTATGTATAGCTGCTAGACTTGCATATTTCTGTTTATAAATACTCAGTGATAACTGACCGCAAAAATAACATGGCCTTCTCAGCAGAGAGCTCCTAAAAAAAAAGTACTTGTCCTATCTTTAATTTCTTCCTGAGTTATTCTAGACCAGACTTTTGCACCTCCAGATAAACTATTTTAACCTGAGGTTCTTGTAGTGGTGCATGTGATCAGGACATTTTCTGGATAAGAAGACAGCCAGGATAGAGCTTTTCTAAAGAAAGCTGTTAGATGGATCGAAGGACATGATGCTGTCTGAGAACTGCACTGCTATTTGTGTTTAGTTTAGTTTTCTAAGGCAGGTCAGCATATAAACTCACTTCGAATGTTGCAGCTGTATCCTCTAAGGGGCTGTGTTTTCAAAATGCCTGGAGTTGTAGCAGCATGAGGAAAGTTGGTGACTGCTGATGTGTACAGATGGGAGACCCAAAGCATTGCCCTGCAGAGGGAAAGTCAGGCAGCAACCATTCCATACAAATGGTAATGGGCAATAAGTCGATCAGTTGTATCAGTGTAGTTGCAAGCGAGCCCAAGGATGTGCTACTGCACCTGGCATAGACAAACTAGTCATGGGTGAGGTGGGAGAAGAGGACATGGAATGAGGGGAAGGAAAGCACTGGAGCATGGTGGGGAAAGGCCATGAAGTGGCTGCAGTGGAGGAGTGTCTGTGAGGGCATGGGGCACAAATCTGTGGAAAAGAAGCGATGCTAGTTCTGCTGCTCATCAAACAGCTTGTTGTCACATGTCTTTACTCAGTGCATGCAATGAATGTGTTTGCAGCAGTGGGTAGGTACAATCTTTCCAAAGATATCAAGCCTCATTTCCTGCAGTTTTACTCTTTTTGTGTCTGGTAAACATATGGGTTATTTGCTGGGGATTTGCCTCATTTTGGTGACCAGGGTTACAATCAGAGGCTCCCACATCTATTGTGCAAGTCACTCATACAGTAATAGCCTGAATTTAAACTTAATATAACACAGGTCACTGAATCTGACAGCTTGTCTTTCTGGTTGCATACAGTGAATTGGAAATGGAAAGACTGATATAGTTTTATAATTCATGAGGTCAGATTCTCAGAATGAAGTGCAGAGATTCTGGAAGGCAAAACCAGGGGTTTCATAGTTCAATTGTGAGTTTTGCATTGAGGGGATTGAGTTCTTTCCTTTCTACAAGAAGATGGAGTGCTACAGGGCAGTTAGTAACTTCAGTTGCATCATCAGCCTTTCAGATTTATGGATAACAGGACTGATGAAGAAAATCCATCAGCTTCTGTGTGGGGTTGATAGCTATAGAGATCCTTGCAATGACTGCATTGATCAGCATACAGAAACTGTACAGACCACTACAGATTGAAATATGGCGCTTAATGATTTTTCTTTTCTCTTTATTTACTGAACTGGTTATAATATGGTCAATATTGCCTGCACAAAGGAATATATGCACTCCAAGCATGCGACACATCCCTGAAGATTGCAGTGTATTAATAGTTGCCTTCATTGATATGTTTCTTCTCTCCATAGTAGAGGGCAGTATGGTCTCAAAACCTGATAATTTTTCAACTCTTAAACAATATTCTGAGGTCTTCAATACAACTGAGACTGATATTAAAGAAAAAGTCAATGAATTATGTTAGGATTAAATAAAAAATGGTTCTTATGTGCTTACTGCAATAAACAGCTATGTTATTTTTATTGGTCTGTCATTATTTGGTTAGTCAGAGCACCACAAGGCCTGAGGCTTGGGCTAGGACCCCAGCACTCCAGACCAGGGTTGCTTGGCCAAGGTTTACGAAGCCCAGGCAGGTGAGGACATTTCACTGAAGTCTGCTAGACCTGTGTTCTGACTCCAGGTCCAGCAGGTCAGCCAGACACCACATCTTGCCTTCCTGGGCTTGCAGTGAGGCAGTGCGTGACAGCTGCTCCATGAAGCATCAAGAGACTGTAAGAGATGCAAGGTTGCCTGGAAGGAACATGACAAGTCAGGACAAGGCACAGGAAAAACTGTCTTGTAGTTCAGTTCCAGATTGAAGTCCCTCATTAGATTGCCCTCTTCTAGACACGTGAAGGCCATCATTGCCACAAATTATAGTCCATTTCTTACTCCTTCTGCTCATGATCTGCTTATATCTGTTAATTCTTTATACCCTATTGCAAGAGAGCCTTAATGTAGGCAGTCACACTAAAATGGAAGTTATGGAAGGAAAGGGCAATCAACTCATTCGTGATTCAAAAGCGGTCTGAGAAATCACAGAAGATTTATGTTGTCTATGACGAGCTTGCCAAACCACATAATGTGAAGATTGCAATTATTTAACTACAGTGCAATTTTTTAGCTGACCATGCTGCAGAACACCTTTTGTTACTCATGAGAATTTTTTATTTGATGTAGAGCACGAAATAGTCATGTGAAGACATGAGTGTATGCAAGCTACCACTCATCAGAAAAAAAGGAAAATTAGTCACGTACTCATTTAGCAGCTATTTCCCCTTTTTTGGGAAATCCAAACATGTTTTCTCTCTGCGCCTCTGTTTCTCTCATCCTCACTCTACGGAAGGAAAGAAAGCTCTGTCTAAAATGTCGTTTGGTTCTGACACAAATCTGATTGGGCAATGAGAGACAAATTTCCGCTGTGTGTTGAGCTAAACCTTATATAAGGTCCTCACTAGCAATTTCCACAATAGCTTCTTTTGTGAAAAGCTAATGGCTGAAAGACTGCAGAAACACAGGTAAGTGAATCTGATGGAAATTTGGGAATGAAAACCTCCCCTAAACCCTCAAACTGTGTAGGGCTTATGAAGATCTCTAGTTACTAAAGCAAAGGAACTGGAAATCTATAAACAAAATAACCAAGTGTTTTCATCAGGCAAAGAAACTGAGAGAGAAACTCACCTGTTACAGAGTATCCATGTGAATCATGAGGCTTGTTAATGACACTAGCACCTAGTCCAGGTGCGCTGAGGGAGGCTACAGCTCCATACCAATGCCCTTGGAAACCCTCGCAGACCTAGCAGTAGGGGAAATGACCCATGGTTATGAAACATTATTATTGAGAAAGAGGTTGGCTTTGTGGTGTTGCAGAGATGGCAATAAGCTGGAAATAGTTTATTGTAGTCAAACTATCAGATGTTGGATAAGTATAGCTACCAGAACAGGAAGAAATTTAGATTAAACCATGACATAAATATGAGAGTGATAGGATAAACAGAAGATGCCCAGAGGTGAATACCTATGAATATGGCTATGTTATATTGGTAGAAATGTTTTTTTGCTTTCGGATATGATTTGAAGTAATTGCACAGTCATTTAATATTCATCATAGTGTTAGACTAATGTTAAATGTATGAGATTTCCATTTCTGTATATAAAATGGAAATGGTATGTATCACGTGCATACGTGTACTGTATTGTTCATAAATTCCTTACACAGAGCATAAACTAGTGCCCTTATGCAGCATGTTTTATATATTTTTGCCTGCAGCATACTGAGATAACACATTATCAATTGAGTAGCAGCAGCTGAAGCCTCGTGGCAGAGCAGAAGCATTCAGTGATGTACACAGAAACTTCTGGGTCCGTGCCAGGTCCATACAGATGACATCTGATGAATGACTGGCAGCGGATAGTTTTGTTTTCCCTTAGTGTCACCATATCTGATTTTCAGGACAAGTTGTTCAGGGTTTTCCTTATCTTTTTTTTTTTAGAACATATGTAGTAGTGTCCATGCTGAAAATTCACTTAAGCACCACCAGCAAGATGGGTGTGCATGCGATGGGAGTCAATGTTTTTGTCCCAATAGAAACATTTGCTGGAGACTTTGAAATCTTGGCTCTGGTTATAGCAGGAAATTTGCCTGCAGCCTGATCCACACTAGCTGGCCTACTTTAGTAGCCACACTGCGGAAAATATAGTGGCACAGGATTTACTGAAGGCCATATAACCTTGGGAGACACCTGAGGTGATGGTTTCAGAGAACCAAAATCTCTTCTGATGCATCTTTTCTCCTGTGTTCACCCAAGCTACTGCACTACAGCTCACTCGAAGCAGCTGACCCTTGCCTCAGTCACATCTTATTGCAAAATAAGCAGAACTAGATTTTCCCACCCTTAGCTGTTGCACTGAAAAGCTGTGGGGACAGAGCAGCATCTTGTGGTATGCTATTTTCATGTCCTGGAGTGAAAGGGAAGGGACAGAAGTGATATCTGTGTGCCAAGCCAGATGCTCTGGTTTCACCAAGTCAGCCTCCATAAACTAGGGATGAAGACCCCTTTCTACTCACTAAGGGTGAACTAAAGCTCCCCAGGTCTGGATTAAGGAAAAGAACATTTAACTCCTAAGATAATACTGACTATTTTCATTATATAATTTGTCTTGTAATAAACTTCCTTGTAGATTTCAAAAGACTTTCCCTTGACCTTCTTCCAATTTGCTGTGGAAAAAAATGCGTGGGCTCTTCTTTGTCCTGGTGACGTACACAGCAGGTGCCTCTGCTTTCAGATTCCAGCAAGTCAGAAGCACGGGTAAGGGCATGCTTTTTTTCTTTCTGTCTCCCTCACCCTTCTGTTCAATGTGCCTCTCTGACAGTAATGTAAAAATGTCTCTGATTATATAGAAAACTGCCCAGATCACACCGTGTTTTTCAAACACTACTACGAATTGCATGGAGAACCTGTGGTTCTGAAGTGCCCTTCCCCCATTTACAAACATTTGGATTTTTCTGCCTTGACTCCTAATATCACATGGCATAAAAATGGTTCAAAAACCATGATATCAGGAAGAGATGAAGATCCAAGAATCTGGGCAAAAGAAAATGCACTCTGGTTTTTACCAGTGATGCTAGAAGATTCAGGAGTATATATCTGCACGAAAAGGTGAGTATTTAAAAGAAAATCCGGTGAAATAACAAGCTTACTATGTCTCAAACACATTAGCTTGATTTGAAACTCCAGTTATATTCAGGGCATTTCTGGGTAGGATCCTTTCCTCACTGACATTACTAGAGAAAAAATGTGGAAGGTCAGAATCTTAAGTGCATTATGTGTCTCCTGCAACTAGATATACTGAAAGCTGGATAAATTGTGAGATAGGATTGCTGCTTTGGCTATGATGTCATGGGAAAACAGTGTATAAAGAATTTGTTCTGGCTTACCTATGAGCCATTCAGTGCTACGGCAAGTGGGACATGCTGCAGGCAGGGGATTTTGCAGGATGCAAATAGCCTTGGTGTACTTCAGGTTGCCCTATGGAACATATACTAAGACACTGTGGCTCTACAGTGGCTTCCTTCTTTCCTCTTCCTTGTCCCTGGTCTTCATTTTATTTCTCCTTCACATTTTAAACCAGAATTTGATTGCCTTGGTATTACTGGAAGACCTTTACCAAGACTCGATATGTATTTACTAGATTGATAACAGACTTATAAGATTGCAGTGGGTGGAGACTTCAGGCATGGCTTTTTTCAGCCCTGTTGGTCGGGTTTTTTCTGAGTGTTTACAATCTGACAGCCCATTGTACCATTTCAAAAGAGGTACCAGGGTCTGGATTTGTTGGGGACTGAAGAAGGCAAAAACCCCCATCACCCTTGAAGCCTGAACTCCAGAAGGTGTCCCAGGTCCCTGTCCCCTCCAAGCTCCTCCAGCCAGCCAGCCTCCCAGTACATCCCTGGCATCTTGCTCTGGGGTTTATAGTGGAGAATATATCTCCACATCCCTGGAGCTGCTTGTGTAAAGCACGGTTTCCTTGCTGGCAAGACACACCTTGTGAATGATGTGTGTCAAAGGAAGAAGAGATGGAGAGGCAGAACTCCAGTGGAGAAATCATGCTCAGCATATTGGGTTGGCCTTTCCACATGTCTCAGCGGCAAGAAATGGTGGGGCAGAAGAGAAGACACTGATAGCAAGGCCAAAGCAATAAAAGGTTGTAAATATTGTTCTAGATCAGAGTAGTGCCTGAGACCTTCAAGGGCATTTTTAAATCCCCTCTTTGTACTATTCTGACTTAGTTTGTCAATATATAATACTATGGCAGTGTTACTAATACCTACAGTAAAATACTCTGAAACACGTTTGAAAAAGACATGCAAGAGTCCAGTACATAACTTCATTGCTAACACTATTACAGGACTAATAGAGTACAAGCAAATTGTATTCCCTTTGCAAATCAGCCTATGGGAAAGCTATCAGATTTTTTTTTCAACACTGCAAAATGAGGATAGAAGCAAACTATCAGAGACCTCTGCTTCTGTGAAGCAAGTATTTTGGATTTGGGCATCCAGCCTTTAAGTGAGAGATGACCACAGTGCCTTGGCAGCAGTGTCAGTCTGTCTGCTTGCAGCCCACAGCTGCTCTCCTGGAGGTGGCAGTCGAACCCCCTGGCTTTGTTGGCCCGTTCAAGGATCAGTCACTGCCCTGGGTAGAGGCACCTCCAAGGCAGGGCTTCAGAGGTTGTGGAGGACAGAATTTAAGCATCTGTCTTCCCAAGTTTGGTCCTCTTGGGACTGGAAGTGATTGTCACTTGGGGCCTGAATGAATATTGCAAACCTTTCAAAGCCAGAATGCCTTCTTTTCTGCACAATATGATATGTACTCACAGAAACGCCTGTGTTTGTTCAATAGTGACTGCAGATGTTTTTCAATACATGCTTTAAGGTTTTTATTTCATCATTAGGGTTTTCATAGTCAGGACCTTTTCCAAGGGAATGGTGGAGACTTCATGACACACCTACTACTGTTCAGGTGAAAAAATTAAAAAAATGCTGTAGTCTAAGGGTGCACAGGAAACTTGGTGTACAAAAAAGAAAAGACTGAATGTCCAAGGCAGACCTGTGTCAACCACATGTTTAGATTGTGCCAAAAGAACAGTACCAGTGATTTTTCCAGCATCCCTCCTGGTATGATCTCAGACCTGGCCTCCTAGAAACTGCTAAGGAAAGAAATGGAGCCAGGAGGAAACCTTGAGTATCACTCAAGTTCCCTGTCTCACTGGTGGGTGCTCACCTCTCCCTCCTCTGTCTGCAGGAACTCCTCCTACTGCATAGAAGTCTCCATCCACCTCACAGTCGTGGAGAAAACAGCTGCTCAGGAGATTGCCTATCCCCAGGTCCTCTCCACTTTCACTTCTGGAAAGATCGTTTGTCCTGACCTGTGGGATTTTTCACCAAATTCGACAAGCCTAGAGCTCAAGTGGTACAAGGTAGAACTTTCACCTCCTTTTTGTGCATAGCCTAGTTCCAATTTAGCACATAAATCTCCACTTTATGTCTCTCCTGAACATCATGTTGGTCAAGTCATGAGCACAGTGTAATATACTGGGAATTTTGGGACAGATGTATATATTTTAAGAAAGGTTCTCTGGGGTGGATTCAGCACAGGGTGAAGTGTTCCACATGTTGTATGCTCTCACAGGCAGTGCAACTATATATAAGGATAGATTACTTACCCAACTCCAGGGTTTGCCACTTGAGATCAGGCTCTTCCCTTGGGCACTGTGCTTCTTTATGGCTCTTGTAGTGGATCCCATAAAGTAGGACCTCCCAGGGGTGCTTCCTCCCTTTTCAGATGGGGTAGCTTTCATTAATCAAGTGGAATACAGCATTTGGAAATACTAGGTTAATTACACAATGCTTACTTAGAGTGTTCTCTAGCCTAACTTACCAGTTTGTGGCTTTTCAAGTAGCAAGCATGGTTTTGCCTCTAAGGTCAAATATCTTTCAATTCATCATCCTCATCTGTACAATTTCTCACTGGAGAGCAGGGGTTCCTTCTTGTATTTTCATAGTACCTTGGTTAACTTTTATTTATGCTTCACTATATTTGCATGCTCTGCCTTGTGCAGCTGTTGCCTTACCGTGGGATGCAATACATAGGCTGGCTTCCTACAGCAGTGCCTAGGTTGTGATTGGTACCACACCAGTAAAACGGTGCTGCTCAGGATTCCCTTCAGAAGTGGGATATAAGCTACTTTATGTAAGCAAAAGGCTGCCCCCCTCAATATGGTTCTCATTACAACCGTCTGAAAGAGCTACCCTGCCTTCATGGAACAGGAACATCATTGCTCCTTAGAGGGGCTCCAACCTTTGTATGAAGACAACCTTAGGGATACAGAGCAGGAATTTATAACAGCTTATGAGGTATACAGGGTAAGTAACAGCTATGTGAAAATCTTTATGATTACTAGTATTCGTCTTCAAAGAACACCTTAGAATATTAGTCTTACGAGGTCATATATGGAAAGTGATATAATTGTGAAAACCCTCATGGGTACTAAAATGGTTTTGTCTTAGAAGAATATCTTGGCTGATTGCTCTTAAGAGGACTTAGAAAAGAGAGTGTTATACCTTTTCCATCTTAAAATGTGCTCTTTATTGAAGAACTATGTACACACATTGTAAGTAGATTAAAATAATGGTTCTTCACGTTTCACATAGTGCCACGGAGCATTTTAGAGACAGATACACATTAAAAGAACTTGCCCTTTGGTAGGAAAGTGGAACTGCTCAAATTTCCCAGTGATATTTAATAACAGAGAGATAGGGATAAGTAATTTTGTTTTGGACCTACACAGGACATAACCATATCTGAGTCATAATGACACTTGCTGTCCTTTCTCCAGGATGCCCTGCCTTTGGAAGACAACAATGAGAAATTCGTCATTCTGAAAGGTTCAACTTCTCTGATCATGACACCTGTGCTACCAACAGATGCTGGCTATTACACTTGCAAGATGTCATTTCCATTTGAAGGTGTGATGTATGAAATCACCAGGACAATTCAGCTGGAGACTGTTGGTAAATATAACATTAGATGATTAGAGATGTGAAGCACCTCTTGGACAAGGAAAGGCTGAGACAACTGTTTGTTCAGCCTGGAAAAGAAAAGCCTTCAGGGTGACCTAATTGAGGCCTTCCAGTACCTAAAGGGGGCTTAAAAGAAAGATGGAGAGGGACTTTTTACAGGACAAGGGAGAATGGCTTCTAACTGAAAAAGGACAGGTTGAGATTAGATATTAGGAGAAAGTTCTTTTCTATGAGGGTGGTGAGGCACTGGAATAAGCTGCCCAGAGAAGTTGTGGATGCCCTATCCCTGGAATTGTTCAAGGCCAGGTTGGATGGAGCTCTGAGCAATCTGGTCTAGTGAAACATGTCCCTGCCCATGGCAGGGGGTTTGGAACTAGATGATCTTTAAGGTCCTTTCCAATCCAAACCATTCTGTGATTCCATGATTCAAGGATTGACACCTTAAAACATTACATCACTTAAGAAGACCTCTTCTTTGCTAATGAAACTCGGGAGAGGAGGTCATGCTCTATCTCTCAGGCATACCAAGGGAATGGGGACACCGTGAGTGCTTGCCCTGGCACTGATGGGTCTCCCACAGCACCCCTGGTACGACAGGGGTCGTTCCTGCCAGTACCTGTGTTTTTTAAATCGAGTAATTATGTCTTGGGGGCATGGGGGTGTTACTGCAAATGACTTCAGAGAGGTTAGGAGTTAAAGCACTTCCTGCTTAGGGCGAGGACAAAATGCTGTTTCGCAGAGGGGTGAAGGCGGCGAGGGGGAGGAAGGGACGTGGCGCTGCTGCGCCGAGCGGCCAGCAGGGGACGGGCGTGCCATGAATTCCTTTTGCTGCATCCCTCGGGATCGGGATGAGAACGGGATCCTGTCTCTACAAACACGGGTCTCTGGGCTTGAGACGGGAATGTCTCTTTTAGCCAGTGGGTTTAACAATCAAATGTTTTCGTGGCAGACAACAGGTGTTGAGCGAAGTGTCACGTTTCTAGTTCTGGGGCCGCGCCCACGTTTGCTCTTGTGTTAGCACTGACTGTTCTCTTTCTAACTTCAGAACGAGAGAAAAGAATTACCCCAATAATTGTGTATCCAACGCAAAAGACAACATCAACTGTTCTTGGTAAGGTCTAACATTATTTTTGGAAACACCTAATCAGATAAAAATTAGAGCAGGTCCTCTTATGGTGTAATTTGTTGGTGTAAATTGTTGTAGTTTCTTTGATCTCTATTATCTTACCTGAGGGTCAGTGCTGGTGTAGTTTTTGTTTCTGTCTACAACCAGATGCTGTCTTCCAGGTAGGAGAAACTGCAGAAGTGCTACAGATTTTAGTCCCTTACAAAGCAATGAAAGCATGTTTGCACCATTAGCTCAGCTGCCCGCAGTTCCCTCTTCACTAAGAACTTTTCTTTTTCATATTTCCTCGAATTGGTCTGGTTATCTGGTAGCTTTGAATGAGCCATCTAGCTCTTTTGAAAAGAGACCTTTTTTCATTGATTTTTACTGTTTGAACAAGACAGTTTTTAGTTAGCAAGTACCTTGATAGGATCTCAATTTTTGTTTGAAGATTACATTATGACAACAAATGTCTGTTGCATTTCCTCCTCCTAGACAATGCCAGTCACATTTTACACTAAACTTTCTTAACTTGGGTACTAAACGCACAACTCTGTCCTATGATGTTGTTAGTTTTCCCTGCTACTTTTCTTTCCATCATTTTAGCCTACCAAGTTTTGGGGTTGCTTTTTTTTTGTTTGTTTTGGTTTGGTTTTTTGTTCATTGTTGTTTTTGTGTTTTGTTTTGTTTCCTGTCTACCTCCATGTAGTGTTTTGTGTTCCTTTTATCACCATCTGCACAGGTATAATAATAACATTGTCTGCATCATTGAGCCCTATGTTTTCCATAGATCCACACCAACCTGGAGTCTCTTTATCCTTAACTCTGAGTTACAATAACTTTATCAAAATTTCAGCATTTTTGCACAATCACCTTATCCCCAGAGGTCCCACCTTGAGCTGAATGCTCTTGCCCACAACATCTCCAAGCAAAGCTACACTTTTGGTTAATGCAATTGCTCCAGAGGGGTAAATCACATGGTGCCCTTTGGGCTGCAGTACATCAGAAAGAGCAAGGCTGCAGGGACAGAGCTTTGCCTCCTGAGGAATGTGTTTAGAGCAAGAGTTGCTAACTCTTGCAATAGGAAAATGATTTGGTTAGCACTGGGAAGGACTGACAAACTGAAGGGGCTTTCTGCCAAGGGGTAGGGGATCATAAGTAATCTGGAGATTAACTTCAGTTTTGAATGTAGTGGTGCTTGCCATGTGTGGGAACCTGATCTCCCACTGGAGTTGTTGGCTTTCACGAGAAGAAAAAGTAGCTCTTCGCGTGTATCCAAACTGTTTTTCAATCTTTGTTTTTTTGACAGGCTCCAAGATGACTCTTCCATGCAAAGTGTTTGTTGGGCTGAGCAACCATGTCCAAACCGATGTGGAATGGCTGGCAAACGACACCAGTGTTGATGTGGTTTATAAACAAAGCAGAGTTACAGAGGGAGAACGACAGTAAGTCTGGCTGAAAGTGCTTCCTTGTGCTTGTTGTTTTAACCTGCAGTGCAAGAGGGGCTCTTGGTGCAACTGAATGCCAGGTAATGAAATGGGGTAGAGACAGATCTGAAGTAAAGGTGAGACCACCTTCCCAAGGAATTCCTGGCTATGGATTAGGGTTTAGCATGGGTCAGGGACCATTTCCAACAGAGTTTGGGGATGTGGCATCTGTATTTTGAGGGACAAGAGTGTTTAACAATTATGGATGTGAGCTGGTTTTGGCCATTTGTGGCCACCAGTGCCAGATAATAACCTGGTCATGCTGCAGCCAGAGGTAACGTGGTCACTCAGCCGTATACCCAAGCCTTTATGTGTTTTCCCATCCCATGATTGGCAGCATCCATATAAACAAAAATCTTGTTTATATGGATAAGTGAAAATGCATTAAACCTGTGGTCAGGAACCATAAAATATCTCTGCAGGCTTTAGAATAGAGCACACATGTACTTTCTTACTTGGACTTTAAAAATTACTTTGATTATGACTATCACGATCATTATTGCTGTTACATATTATTATGGAATTGCACAAGGACAGTGACTATGACAGCTAAGGTTCATGTAGAACCCACAGTGTGTGAGACACTCCAGTTCTGCTGGAAGCCCCCATTATGGCAGCATGGCAAAACAGCTCAAATACCACCAGGAAAACAAATGCCCTGCAGAAGTCTCTGGCAAAGAGCCTACTGCCATGTTCCTGCCTTCTTGTGGTACAGTTGGAATTCCATTGCCATGGTGCAATGCAGACTCATGATCAGATCATAAAAGAACAGCTGGACAACTGCTCCAGAAATGACTAAAAGATACCAAGGGACAATGTTTGACTGCAGCTATAAAACCATTTTCAGAGAGTTGTACTCATGAAACAATAATGTTGAAATAAGCTGGAAACTTCTTAGACAGTTTCTTGTATGGAGGTCTTGGCGCAGGACATGTGATAGACAGGAATGGTGGTTCAGTTTTCTGAGAGAGCATTTGCAGGTTTATGTTCTCCATATGTCCTCTTCCATCTGGTAGTAATAATTAATTTCAGAAATGAATAGGTGATCAGAAAGAAGGAATTAGGTCCTTCCCCAATGCTGTGTAGAGAGCTTAAAGATATACGGAATTCTACTTGCCTTTCTTCCTTCCCTTTTATTATTTTTGCAAGACAACTTCAGATCCTTTTTCCTGTAGGCTCCAAAAAGTGCAGGATGAGTACTGCCCACTGAGACTCAACTAGTTAGCAGAACTGGACTGGGAGACATCATGTGTCCTTGAATGCTGTGTGGCTAGTTCAGAAATGAGCCAATATCCAATACATTTTCTTGTGCTTCGTAGAATGAACATATTAAATAGAGAAAAGATAGCTTATAAAAGTATTGAACATTAAATTTTTCTTATTTTTTTTCTAGAGAAATTGTAGAAAATGGTGAAAACTTCATTGAAGTACCATTGATTTTTGATTCTGTTGAAGAAATGGACTTTTACACAGACTTTACCTGTCTAGCCCAGAACAGATATGGATACCAAGTACTGCCAACAAGGGTCAAACAGGAAGGTAGCTGTTTTCACTGCTTATTTTGGATAATTGTTATTATTATTCTAATGCTGACATATCATCCAAGCCTTTTATACTGTCAGAGATAGTGCCAGAATGAATTATTGCCTGGGGAAAGTCTAGTTGACTCTTTCACCTGTAGTCTTTGATATAGTTTGTTCACAAAATACACCTTCTATAGGTTATTTACTGACATTTTATGCAGGGGTAAAGATCCAGCTGTCCTGGTATATCTGTTTATTGAATAGGACTCCAATTTAGATACACTTTGTGAAATGATGTTTTCAGTGAGACTACAGGCAAATTCCCTTTGGATGTAGGAGGGCCAGAGCTCCTGCAGTTTCTCAACTAGTAGGGGAAAAAAAAGACAATATGTCTGTCACGTATTGGCCTCATAAGCCACCAGCGTGCTTGTAGCAAATGTGGATAGAGCCTTCCCAAATCTTCGTTCGTGAAGCCTAGCCATGAGGGGAAAAAAAAGACAATAACAGAATTAATTACTTGAGTGTTCCTTTTCCTCATGCACAGACTTCCACCAAAATAACAAGAAGTATAAATTAAGATGGGTGTTATTATTTTGGCTCCTAGTGAAGGGAAGAGAAGACTGAAGCTCAGTGTAATTAATATTGCAGCATGATAGACCACTGGCCAAGAACATGCTGTAAAATCAATGTGAAGCAATGCTAATTGTTTCTTTGCATGAGGTTGATGAATCACTCACATTTCCCAGAGTGTTCAAACAACAGACCTCTTCCTTTCACAGGTGCATAAGCCGTGCTGGAAGGTTAACTTGCATACGTCCTTTTTATTGTGATTTCTCCTCTTCCTCCTTGAACTTAGAGAACTATATTCCTGAGAGTTGGTTGTTTTTTTGTTTGCTTGTTTGTTTTTTTAAAAATATTAATATTTATTCTTTACCTTTTCAGCTGCTGGCTTGTCCTGGTACATTGCAATGATTCCCATTGCATTGGCCTGTGTGATCGTGGGAGGGATATGCTGGAAGCGGAGAGACAATAAAGGATATAGCATAGCAAAGGTTTAAATTCTGCCTGCTTCTCCAGCTGCCAACAGAACAAAGAATCACCATGACTATCTTTCACATGAGGCACAGAGAGCATTTCAGACCTGATATACTGCATTCCCAGCAGACAGATATGTATCAGCTCTTTCCCTCTTCTCCAAGTCTTCTATGATCTGATGAAGTTAAGAATATGTTTCCATTTTTATACTGCCTAGATGCAGGAAACCTGATTCTATTATTTTGCAGCTAGGGTGCAATCTGTAGGATTTTGGAACACAGAATACTGGGATCGTACTCTGGATATGGGAAAGGTAGGGAAAGGGAGGTGCTCTTACCCTTCGTAATTTCAATAAACTTACTGGTTTTTTGTACAAAAGGAAAGGAAATCCCCTAGAAGACCCATTTGTTTTCCCTTTTCCAGAGCCAAATGCAGTTGTCATGGCAACTGTATATCTATGAACTTCTCCATAAAAAACCTAATTTTTTTCACCATTTGGATTATTCTTTACTTAAACGGACTGTCTCAGAATATTCCTCCCCCAGAGAAAACTACATCTGCACAACAGATAACTGTACATTGGAGTATTCAGTTCTGTTTTATCTACTAATATGTCATATCTAGAGATTCATAGTCAGCTGTAACAGGTTGTTATCTTTGCCAAGGAAAGAATTTGTGTTTTGAGAGTCATTTGACTAATAAAAACTTTCATTCCTAGAAGTAGTTGGACAGATTGCCAGTTAGTAATATACAGTCTCACCCTTTTGTGCCTCCAAGATTGTGCCTTTCTGTGACCAATCTGGTATAGCTTCAAATTGTGTCCTTTAAATTGCAGTATGCAAATTGACTACTCATGATACAAAACACTGCCTGTTAGGTTAATCTAACTGGATTCTAGTCTTGGCATAAATCAGAAGGGAGCAATCAGTGACCATGCTGTACTTTGAGAGTCACAAGGAGTAAAATGACTTGGTTACTTCCTCTTCAAAGAGACATCATTTATAATAGCTGAGAAATAGGTACATGACATATAATGTGTATTATCTTCGTCTGTATGGGAGGGAAGAGAAACTGCCTTAAAGGACTACATTGTTACAGAGACGTAACTGACGCCTCTCACAGACTCTGAAGATAAAGCTTTTTGTTCATGTAAATTATCCCCGAGGTTTTTCAAGCTCTGCAGGAAAGAAATCAGGAAAAACACTGGCTCCAAAGAAACAAATGGTAACAAACTAGGGAAATGAGCAGCTCATGTCCAACTGGGAGAGGCCATAATATAATTCCTTTCCACCATCTCTTATAGCTTGCTCTGAGTTAATCCAATAAATATTTGGAAAAACTTCAAAGAGTAGGATGTGACTTGAGTTAGGAAACCTTTATTATCTACTAGCAGAAACCTTCCAAGTAATGAGATTTAAGCCAAAGCCTCCCTTTAAATATTCTAAGGCATGGAGATTAGAGTTCTGACACAGTCTGAGTCAAGAGCAACCAAAGAAGACCACAGAATTTACTGTTTCCAAGCACAGAATGTCAGCTATGATGATAAAGACTACATGTATTTTATGGGCAGATGGGAAAAAGCTGTCTGCAAGTGTGGAAACCAGTCAATCCACTTGGATATCTGTTCTTTGAAGGAAGAAAGCTATAGATGAACTGACCAATGCTGGAAGGAACATGAAAAATATTTTAGGAACATCAGGAATGCTCATTATTTTCAAGCAATCACTAGTCTGTAGCTAGAGAATAAATTTTGTTTGTCAGTAAGTGTAACATTTCAAAATGTGATTTGTTCTTCCTTTCCATCTGTATCCTCCAAGAGTAGTGTAATAACACATCCAGCTATAGGTACAGGTTGGATTTCACCAAGTAGTGGAAAAGAAGTATGTGGAGTATTGATGCCATAAGAAAGTTAAACACCTCAGATCGTCCTCCAAACTAGAGCAGGAGAAAGAAATGTGAATGTGACATAAAATTTAAACATAAAGAGAATAGATGTTACTCAGTGGCACCTTGAATACAAAAGGAATGTACAGAAACAAAGTCTTATCTTTTATGAAGTGATATTTGCTTCTCTAACTGTTGGTCTAGCAATATTCTGAAGGCTTTCCTCATAAGCAGACGTTCAAGTGAACTATATTATGTAGATATTTTACAGTAGGCTTGAATAAGTGGTCTACGTAATATAAATGCTTTACATTTCTTTGTATCATTATATACAAGGGCAACATTGTTTTTGAAAATGTTATGTGAAAAATGAAAAACAAATAAACCCCAAAGCAATATACTAGTGTGTGAGTTGTGTGTAAAGAAAGATGTGAGATATGAGATGGGACTTTGAGGGCGGCAGCACTTTCCTGGAGAGGTGTGATTTTTCCAGCGCTCTGCTGCAGAGGGACTTGTCCCCTGGAGGCACAGTCACCCCTGCTCTGTGGGGTTGCAGGATGAGCTCCATTCTTCAGCTGCTTCTCTCACCTTGTGACTGTGCCTGGTCACACCAAAGGAGGACTGTCCTGATGGGCCAAGCTCTGTTCCTGACTGCCACCATGTTCATGACTGTCCTTGCTCTGCAGTCCCCCAAGTTTTGGGCTCACTCTGGGCAGGTGGTACTGGGTGGTCTTTCTCTGCCTACCAGCTGTCTTTTGTTCACCTACTGGCTTCTGTGGGGAGACTTCTGGTTACAGACTGTCACTGTAGGGATGTGAATTTAGCATGTGCTCCCCAGGTGGGGGGATCTGTCTTGTTCAGCTTCCCAAAATGCTCCCCAAGATTTTTGTCTCCTTTTTTTCATTCGAAATTAGAGAACTCCATTTATCACTGTACTTTAGGTAGGTGTCAGAGACTGAAATGGTTAATGATTTATGCATTCCAGGAGTTTACAGGCTTTGACTTTTGCCCTAAAAAGGCAAGGAGATACCCCAGATGGACAGTTGAGCCCATACCCTCAGCGCTAAGCCCTAAAAAGGCAAGAAGATACCTCAGATGGGCTAAGCCCTAAAAAAGCAAGAAGATACCTCAGGTGGGAAATCGAGCCCATCCCTCCCTCCAGTGTTAAGCCCTAAAAAGGCAAACAACTCCTCATCCTTGTCTATCTGAAACAACTTCAAAGGCACACTCACAAAGAAGAGACTGATGTACTGTGGTCTTGGCATGACTTAGCATCCACGACAGAGGCTGCTCATGCAAGTAGTTCTTTTCAAGAAAAAAGTTCAGTTGACAATTATTTTCTTGTTTTATTCTTGTTTTATTTATTGATATCAGCTATCAATCTAAATAGGTAGCATAACTAGTGTTTGACCAGTGTAGCACATAAAAACCCCTAAATATAAATTGAAGAGCATCAAATAATTAGACCTGCTTGTTCCCAAACAAAGCCCTTAAATAAATGTGGGAACAAGTGGAAACAAGGATTGGACCTGCGCACAGAATTGATCTTAGCCAATTAAGACAAGAAGCTTACATTTTTTTATTCTAGTAGCTGGAGAGGGAAGATGTTCATGCAAGAGGGCAAGGACCATGTGAAATAGCATTGCCAGGAATAGTGCTTTAAGTAAGAGAACAGCTAATTAAAGGATTTTCGATTATTCTGATTGAAGTCTGCAAAGCAAGAGGCCCAGCAGAGCAAAACAAAGTAAGAAATAGGTCTTATATTTTGGAGCTAAGAACTCCCTGTCTACTCATAACATTGTAGCCACTAAAGATAGCCCAGGATGTGGTACCTCTCATCCAGCCTTCACGTGGCCAAAAGGAATACAGCTAGCTATTGATTCTTCCTCTCCAATCACTGTAGGAAGAGTTCTCTCTGGTGCCTAAAATAAGTTCTGCACCTCAGAACTTCCTGTCTTTTTCCACCAGTTTATGACAAAGTGAGAAGAAACCACCATGCATTACAGGAACGATTGGTTGTGGATAGCTGGATTTCAGGTTATCAGAGGCTATAAAAAGAAACAGACAAGCCCAGAGACACCCCTTCAGTAGTCAAAGCTGCTGGGCTTCCTTGGAAAATGACATTAATGCTGGCAGCTCACTATGCAGAGCAAGGACACAGGCTCATGCTAAATGAAAATACTGTAAGAGGCTAGGAGACAGGCACAAAGGTATATACAGTGGAATCCAACCAAGAGGCAGGCTGAAAATATGTGGCTGGTGCCTTGGAAAAACATTAGTGGCTCACAGACCATATGGTCATGAACTGCCAAAGTTTTTTTTTCCCTCTTTTACAGGAGGAAAAGAAAAGGCTGCTCTGTGTGTGTGGCTGAAGTACACAGAGCCCTGCTGGGACCAGAAGTAAGCCTGCTGTGTGACTGCAGATGAGCAGTGGGCTCTTGGGCATGCACAGGGTAGCAGGGGCTGCTACCCCTTCCACAGCACTCAGCCAGCTCAGTCCCCAAAGCAGGCAGCATCTGCTTGCTCCTTGCAGGCACTGCTGGGCCACAACAGATGATTGGAAAAAATTGCTGTATAAAAATGAAATATCATAAAATTCTGTCAGTGGACAAACACAGGCTATTGGTAAGAAAATCACTAAAATGTATATATATAAAATAAATTATTAGTCTGCTTTAGTGTGCTCATTGCACTGGAAATTGTAGTCTCTATCAGTCTGTATACTAGTATACACAATGTAAAGAGCTTAGTAAAGCAGATGAAATATAACACCAGTCAGTTTTCAAGAAGGACATGTCAATCTCTTCCTGAAATTCCTCAGCCAGGCACCTAATAATGAGGAAACTTTTAAAAACTCACATAGATCCAAGCTGGCTTGTTAGAACTTGGGAAATTCATCTATTACTGAATCTTTAACTGCAAAGTGTAGTTTGGCTTTTATAATTGTGTGTCCCTCCTACCAATTTTAGGTTTTTGCACCAGTCTTAATTGTCTCAGAATCTGACTATGACTTCAAGTGCTAATAGCAAACTCCTGTATAGCATGTTGAAAGTCTCACATTCCTGACAAGAGATGAAGGCCCTCTCTTTCTCACTGTTTTTACTGATTTGCCATCTCTTGAGTAGTGCCACAGGAACTTCACTTGTATGTACGTAAATTTCATAGAAATGCACATCTTGATTACTTTGTGGATAATGAGGCATTGCCAGTGTTTCTGTCCCATGAGTCTTGAATGGTACTATTTGTTTAAAGCTGTAGAAGTCCTGTTCTTCCTGAGTTATCAAGAATTCATTTATCCGTCTGCTAAATTCTGGGATAAATGAATCATCCTGTTTGTTTACTTTGGCTCCCAAATGTGCTTCGTCATAAGTGCTAAGGAGGCCAGGCTATGACTGGAAATAGCTGATTTTGTTTGTTTA